AAGTTAAAACCGTAAAACCTAAAATGTTGCTACCGTATTTTTTACGGTAAAATTCCGGCAACCACAGCTGCTGTTTTTTTACCGTAAATTTTACGGAATTTTGATTTTACAGTGTATGAGTAACTTTGCAACTACATCTCAACTAACTCTCATTAGAGTATTAGTAGACTGTTGGGTTACAGTTAGTAGAATAAGTTAACATTGCAAAGTTACTTACAGTCAGTAGAATGTGTGTTGTGGAGCATCAACATAATGTGTTAGCAGATATTAAGCAGACAGTCTTCTAATACTGTAATAACTGCTAGTTGACATGTAGTAGCAAAGTTATTTATAGTTAGCAGACTATCTAAAATGGACTATCAAAATAAAGTGAATATTGCTGTCTGTGCCAGTTACAGACTACGTGACGTTCTGTGAAACTGGTCAATTCTGAATGATCAAAATCTGCAGTCTGGCCTCTGATTCCTGCAGATTGTAAATTGGGCCAAAGTCATGCAGTGTAAGCCAGCCTTAAGTTCAAAGCAAACCTTTTCAGTCTGAAGACTGAATTTTAAACAAAACATCAACGTGAAATGACATTGCAAGCACAATGCCTTCCTCACAAAGAAGTAAAATTTTGATGCATATGACTAATTAAAGCACTGATGTTTCATATTCCTGCTGCTGTGCTGGTCTCAGGTCCTGGAGAGGAACATGCGGCTGGAGTGTAAATGCCACGGTGTGTCTGGATCCTGCACCACCAGAACCTGCTGGATGACCCTCCCCAAGTTTCGCGAGCTCGGCTACATCCTCAAAGACAAATACAGCCACGCTGTCCACGTGGAGCCGGTCAAAGCCACGCGCCACAAGCGGCCCACTTTCCTCAAGATCAAAAAGCCCTACTCGTACCGCAAGCCCATGGACACGGATCTGGTGTACATCGAGAAATCGCCCAGCTACTGCGAGGCGGACCCCGTGACGGGCAGCGTGGGCACTCAGGGCCGGGTGTGCAATAAGACACTGGTGCACCATCCCAACGGCTGTGAGCTGATGTGCTGCGGCCGCGGATACAACACACACCAGTATTCACGCGTCTGGCAGTGCCACTGCAAGTTCTTCTGGTGCTGCTACGTCAAATGCAACACTTGCAGCGAGAGGACAGAGGTGTACACATGCAAATGAGCGATGCTTATGGACCGTTTGACCTAATTTTTGAGAGGGCCTTTCATCCTGACATTACTGTAAAAGATGACTTAATCAGGTGGCATTTGTTCTTTTGCACAAGACCTTACTACAGATATGCTTCCTTCACTTTAATGGAAGAACATAAAGATTTGTCTGGAGAAAGAATTGCGTGAGACGGAACGTGGAACTAAAAAGTGTAAACTACTGTACTTTTGATGCCACCGAGTTTTCTCCGCTTTCTTCACTAAATCTAGAGCGTTACTCCAGTCTGCAGGATCCTGAAGCTGTCTGGATTAAAATAAGGCTCTCTTGTCTTTTACCTGCTGTAAAACCCATTACAACTGCACCTTGATTTAACCAGCGGCGCTACTGGGTCATGGACGTCTTGCAGACATGCAGTGAAGCTTACAGAGATATTAACAAATAGATCAAAACAGCATGGTTCCAGAAGTAAATTGAGATTTTAATTTGATTTCTAAAGAAAATTCCTAAAGAGAAAATGAATGGGGAAGTACTCCTGGAACCAAGGTTGCTGAAAATATGCACGATCACTGTTGTGCTCTGTTGTGAAATTCTTCCAAACTGATTTTATTTATTTATTAAAAAACAATGTTGTTAACTGTAATTAATGAGACACTGGAAAGAAATAGTGGATCTGCATCCCTTTATGAATACACTGAGATTTTGTATCTTCTGAAAGTATAGCTTTTTTAGTTTACATAATGCATTGTTAAAAAAACAAGCAATATTTTTTTCTATGAGAAATTTCCTGTATGCTGCTAGTCTGGAATAATCACATTCGCTGTAATATTAAGAAACTACTGACCACAAGCTTTTTGTAACTGGTATAGTGATAAATCCAGATGTAGAGTTCACACTGAAAATATTGGTAAGAGAGTATATTTTGTGAAAGAATATTTTTATATGAATGTTTTATTTATACTTTACCATTTCTGAAAACCACTCCGTTTGCATTATGCAGTCATTTTAATTTGTGGGTGACAAAGTTGGAATGTGGATGTTAATTATTAAAATCAAACTTAGATCTCATGCAACCATGGCTTATGTTGTTAGTAGTGTTTGATAGTGGCAAGCAACACTATTACTCGTGCTCTTACCTAGATTTAGTGATTTGAACAAACCCATAACTTTGTGCAGCTGACATGAATGATTCTTAAAGTCATGCAGCTTGATGAGTAGAGGTGTGCTGTTTCTAAGTGATGGTGGGCGAAACATGGGACCTGAACCATATCTAGAGACCAGAACATTACAGACAGGACAGCAGAGAGTTGTGCAGCATCTCCCAACACCTCAGCACTTAAGCACTTAAAACTTCAGCAAACACAAATCACATAAAACACCCTAACGTCGCACAACACAAGCTGACAAGACCAGCACCGCTCACGTTTCCTTCAGAATATGTCGTTTTTGTTTGTAGTGTTAGTGTTCCTCATGTGTGATGCTGCCACAGTTTGTCTTGTTAAAGTATTCAGGCTGAATAAACATTACACCACAGTAATACCCACAAATGCTTGGTTTTGGGCAGTAATTCCAGCTCCGCGTGTAATTGATGAGCGCAGTGAGTGTTATGCTGATGACTTGCTCAAGGGGGCGGAGCTGGAGTTGTCAGGTGATTGATGACTCTGACATTTCTTTCATTCAGACCTTTGCTACTAGTTGCTAAACAACTCCATTGACTGCTGCGCAATGTCAGCCAGTCACGCAGGCTAAGTCAGCTTGCCCATTAGCGCTTACACGTGATAGCATTTAGCTTTCTCAAAAACATACACACAGAAGAACTGGTAACGCAAGACATTAATCTCAAGATCATAGTGAATTAAGTCAGCAGAGAAGTGTAGAGGTCCTGTCATCGAAACTCAAGCTTCTGTTTGTTTTTGTGTCGTAGCAATTGCCAAAGAGTAGTAAAAATGATCACTTAGATCGCAATTAAATTCTCAGCTGTGTTTGTACATAAACATCACGTTTTCACTGCCAAAGCTTGTGAGACATCGGCTATGCTGATAACATAAGGCCATTTTTGTTTAATATAATACTGTAGTATTTTATATCGCATACTGCATTTTCTAACAGAATGCCACTTGTGTTTATTGGAAGTCACTTGTTGATATCAAGTACAATCAGAGTATAGAAATATCAAATGAATATGGATAGCATAGCTCAGAACTCATAGATCTTTTGATTTTGGGTGAATTTAATGAGAAATTGTGAAAACTCTCAGACTGCAGACTCTGTGGGTCTGCAAACTGCATGGATGCTGACTCACTGAGACATATCAGTTTGAGACAAAGTTGTGATGAAGTTTTTTAATATGCTGCCACATATTCTAGAGCGTTCTGTGAGATTGATGCGGTGCATTCTCTGATCATTGGACCACAGGGACAAAAGTCAGAGCTGAACTTTAAACAGATATATGCTTTTCCACAGTGCTTGATCCTGCTTTACACAGTCCTTGCTGATTATAATGAACAGTAAATGTTGATCGGCCCATTTTTCACTCAAATTGAGGGTAAAAACCACAAAGATAATAATAACAGCAGTGATTGCATGTAGTGAAGAGGGGGAAGAAGCGTGTGTTTTGCACCCGCTGCCTGTCTATAAATCACCCAACACATAATTGCATCAGTCATCCGTTTGTTTTTCATCTGGTTGAGACATGCACACGCACCTAGAGGAGCGCTGCGGATCGCATGCCAGTCTTTCTCTGGTCGTCATGTGCTTGTAGAATAAGTCGAATAAGTGTGTGTTTGACTTCTGAAGGAAATAATGTCACAGGAATTGTTCAACAGCAACACTTCTGCGTCCTCTGTGTTATGGAATATGTTTTGTTATGGGATATGAAATGTTGTTTTTGACAGCTTCTCTTTGCATTGTAACCTTTCCAAAAGGTTCGAAGCTTCAGAAACCCCACAGGGAACATTACTAGACGCTTAGATTAGACTTGTAAAGTCGCAAAGCTGATATTGTTGAGAAAGAACAAAAGCTTCCCCTTTAGGTGTGTATTTCGCAACACTGTTTGAGATATGAGGAGATGGATTTGTGAGTGAACTTAAGTAACAACTGCCTTTGAAGATCATGCATGAATTCTTGTTCTGGGATTCGTATAAATCGTAGAGTCCCATATGATACTTTTCATCTTTCGCTGTGTGGTTGGGTGTGGGGTATGTTGGTCCCTCATGCCCCCCTCCACCTTTAATGTTATCTGAGAAACGATTACTGCAAACCTCACATGTCTGGAGTATCTCCGTGTGCAAAACTCAAATGATCCCATTTTCTCTTTGGGTGTGAATTCCTTACACAAACCCCACGTTAACTTTGAGGAAGCCATGCTGCTTATTGCACAAAGCAGACACAGTTGTTCTTATTTGATTGAGTACACGATGAAAAACGACAATGTAACCTACAATGTGCTTCATGTAAAAGCATCTAAATTAAATGCAACTGGTTTTATTCAAGTCAAAAATATTAGCTAATATGACTGATTCAACCTGCTACATAGGGTTACACCAATAAAAATCTTTTATTAAGGGTCTGATGAGACAGAAGAGCTGCAAATCTCCACTTTTTACGTTGTATAAATCAGCTCAACTCAAGTTGTTCTCCATGTCTTTCAGAATCGATATCTTTATGATGCAAATGACTGCTGATCTCCAGGCTGGCGTATTAGTGCTGGCAAATGGTGATGAGTCTTCCTCTTTGAAGCTGCTGTATGTCTTTCATGTCCTCTGGCTTAATGAGCACATGTACAGATCAACAGTGTTGTGACAACAGCACCACGTCTCAGTCCAGATCACTGTTGGTGAATTAAAGACATGTTTACTGTGTCAACAGTGCTTTAATATACAGGAAAACATGGACTGTCTTGTTCGACTTTTTGTCTCACAAAACTGAGTCAGTCTATGAATGTGTTTGGTAGCACTGATTGCACTTATAGCTACTATGGCAAATTATTTCTGGGCTACAAAGATAATGATCACAGTATATTTTTAATTTGCCCTGCATGCTAGATTGCTAATGGAATTTATGGCATAAATTGGGACTAATTTTAAAAGATCCTAATGGGATCAAATAAGAATATCTGTAAGGATATCTCAAGATCGATCCTATGGCAGGGCTCTTTAACTCTGGTTCTTCTGTGTACATTATAGCTCCAATCCTGAACAAACTTATCAGATTCATAGATATTAACAGCTGCATTCGGCTTCATATAGGAGCACTACTCACATCCATAGTATGTCCTTCATTAATAAATGTTGTAAAACTCAGAAAGCATTTCATATATATGGTTCAGATATACAAAGGAAACAACTCACTATCTCTATGCAAATGATTGCTGCTGTATACCATGATTTGATCAAAAAAAAAATCTGATTTAGATATATAAACATGGATGTTTTTGAATCAATAGATTCATTTATGTTTTTTTATTTGCATATATGATCTCTCTATGTTACAACAAAGTATTACAACAAGTTTCAAGCATCAGTCAATGCCCTGATAGTATATATATTGTAAGAGTATATTGTAAGTTTTTCCTGTAGTACATTTCTGTCAGCAAACAGAAGAAAACAAACAACACAGGTAAAGGACAGTCTCACAGAGCTTTATTAGAGGTTTCAGGAGAGGAGCAAGGTGAGATAATGAGCTGATAATCTTGAGCTGAACAGCTTGTGTCTGATCCGGTGTGCTGAGCTGAAGACAGATGATTGCTGTCGACTGGAGTGGGTCTGATGAACAGGTAAGCAGAGAAGGTAAGCTGATGCACGCAGGTAAACAACAAGACCAGACACTGAGGTGGTGATGGGAAGGTGGCTTTATACTGTGACTGACAGGTGAAGTGCATCAGAATTCTGGTGATTGTGAACGAGTGAGTGGAGCTGAAGGATCTGGCGTGACTTTTGGGGATGAATTTTGAATTTTGGGGATGTTATATAATTGTGACAAACTAAATGATGTTTATGACAAACTAAATTAAGTGAAAATCAGCTGCGTTGGAATTAAACTCTGCAGGACTCAAGTTGAAGTTTCCTGTCCTCCAATATAACTCTGAAACTGCAATTCTGGAAATAAAATGCAATTACACTTCATTCAGTAGGATTGTATTTGATCGTTAGTGTAATTGTAGAGGATTCTTTTTTAATCTCATGAAGATCCTGTAGGAATGTTTCCAAATTATGATGATGACATTCCGTTAGAAATCCTGCGCATTCCATTTGTGCATTACAGGATTCATTTGAAGACGATCATTTCAAAGGTTACCCATCATCCTCACTGATGATTTGAAGTATTAGTTGTGCTATGACAACTGTTTTTAAAGACAAACTGAGTTCGTTAGTTTTCACCATAAACTGAATGTTTACAAATTCCCTCCCCACTTACTCTCTCTCGCTCTCTCTCTCTCTCTCTCTCTTTGTTTGAAGTAAATGCACATGTGAGTTAGAGGAAAGATTGATGTCATAATGAGTGTGATGGCATGCTTTAGTCATTTAAACTGGCAGTATCATCTCAAATTATTTCATGGCTTTCTGCAATGCTACATTTCAGAGCAGGTCCAGACAGGAGTGGAGATGTAGGAGTGAAGGCTGCGAGAGACAGCAGAGGCTGTGTGTTACAGTGCCTGCAGGACATGAGGAGCTCACTGTAAAAAACATCTGCATATATGATCCCTGCTAGAACTCTTTTCAACTGCATTGAATTGAATTTTGAATGCACTCTATAAATATATTTCTGTCATGACAACTCTCGGAGGGATTGGCATGGTAATGTACATGACAATGTTAA